AAAAGAAAAGAAAAGAAAAGAAAAGAAAAGAAAAGAAAAGAAAAGAAAAGAAAAGAAAGGAAAAGACAAGTTCCCCAAATTCACAGCCAGAAGTCGTTATGTCTGTCAGGGATGTGATGGCATTCAGCTGAAAATAGCTGGGCTTTAAAGGACTAACAGGATGTCGGTTTGTGGAGAGAAAGGGCCGGTGCAGATGAAGGACCAAGAGAAGTGAATCAGTACTGCCAGCAACTGTGGTCCCACAGAGGATTTCACCGGGCTATTTTATTTGACTGAAGTGGCACTCATGGTGGTGCTAGGAGATGGTGAGGCTGAAACCAAGATGAGGGCAAGTCCTAAGAGGCCATGTAAGGGAGTCAGGTACTATCATGACAGGTAGTAAGGGCAGCCAGTGTTCCTCTGCTATCAATTTATGATTTGCTATGTTCTGGTTACTTGACAAATGCAATGAGGTAAGAAGTGGGTTGTGCAAACTATGGACTATTAGGAACTGTCGATCATCTTCGGTTGACATGGAGGTGATTGTTGAATACTTTAAACATGAATGTTTAAATTCAGAATGTCTGAATTCATACCACAGCTCTTTTCTGAAGTAATGAAAGCCAAAGATTCACGGCTACTATTTTTCACATAGACTCAGACTAAGAAAAAGGGGAAAAGATGACTGCAAGCAGCACTATAAACCCAAACTATCTACAATTACCCCATGTCAAGTGCTTTTGGGGGACCGAGCACACTGTTTACAGACGTCACTGAGGAATCCCTCTTCAAAGCCCAGACACTTGGACTAAAATCTTCACGAATGACCTTGATGTGGCCAAACATTTTCTGTAGATAATTGAAAAGCGTATTTCACTGAAACCCTATTTTCCTGATTGCTGCCTCTAACCCCATTAACCGCACACACCTTGACCTTTAGAATTCCTTAATTGCATGGGCTACACCTTCCACCAGGCCGTGTACCCAAACCTGAGCAGCAGGGGTAGGTTCTCACTTTCCGTACCCATGGTTCCCTGTGCTGATAACTGTATATTTCTTATCTCCCTAATGAAGCCCTGGGCCCAGACCTCACTCACGGTGATGTCTGTGGCACTGAACACAAAGCCCTGGAATTCTGATGCCCATTAAGTCTTTGGTAACGTGGATCTATCACCCCAGTGTGAAAAGTAAGATCTCTCGCTAATACTCAAAGTATCTAATTTATTAACAAATAAATTCAAGGAAGGAGAATTTAGCCTAGGAATGTGTCATCAAATTTGAATTGAGATGGGAAATTAACACATAAGTAGAAGGGGAAGGTAGAGCTCAGTGGTAGAGTATGTGCTTAGCATGCAGGGGGGCCTGGGTTCGACATCCCTAGTACCTCCGTTCAAAGGGAAAAAAACTAAACGCCTCCCTCCAAAAATTAAAATTAAAATAAGTTAAAATGTAAGTGGACTATCAAGAG